CTTCATACTCAATCGCCCTGATGATGGAGGCAGTATGACCTCAGAAACGTTGGTAAACATCGACCAGACTACACAGTGCAACAACCCAGAAGACAGAAATCTTCAAGTAATAATATATCGTCCGCACAAAATATATTTGTATAATGCTGACAATAACTAGTGTGAGAATTTTGCATATGCACTAGTAGCACAAGTGGCATACAGAAGTGCTTTGGACACTTACTACAATGGGTTTTCTCTACTAAATTTGTCTCTGTGAAATGCAATTTCCACGCTGGTATTTACTTAAAATAAGCTGTTAGAATATTTGTGTGATATCGTGGTAATGCGACATTTCTTCTGCTGAGAAGCGATCGAGAGATAATGGAACATGCATTTGTACTAAGGAAGATATTCCGTGTGTCAGTTTGTTAATATATTGTTGGCGTAGGAAATTTCATTTTTCGCTAGTTATCTAGCTTTATGAATACAAATATTATAGAGTAGATCTGCATCAGCAACGTTGTAAATCACTGTTGACTAGAGTGTCATTAGAAAGGCCGAGCGGCAATTCCCCTGCGGACATGGCTCTTTGTGGTTTTCCACATTCCATTATCGCCTCTTCCTTCAGCTGCTGCGGGCTGTTCCATTTAGCGTGCACACGTGCACACGTGCACATAGGTTACAGGGACCCGTGAACTACACGCCGTAGGAAAGGACCAACAAATAAGTAATAAATCAATAAATGAGAGAATTATGATTGGATACTTAAACGTGCAGCAAGCAACACGTTTTTAAGTAGTGCTATGGCTTGATTTTGCTGAAACCATGTTCTCGCATGTTTTCCAACCAAAATATCGTGCATGCTGTAAGTACCAATGGCCTTGTAAACCTATCCATTCTTCGCATTGTTGTGTACTACTGAACATAAAGACGTCAGTCCTCTCTGCCAGACTTTGTATACACTGAGGTCGAAGAGATATAATCAGACAGGTGAGTGGCTATCAGGTGTTATTGATCAAAACACTAAACAGGCCACGCAGACACTTATACTGCTTGAGGATGATATTAATTGGGTTATTCCGAATTGTCGTCCATACTATTAAAGCAAACGATGGTTATATTTAAATAAACCAAAAACTGACTTTGATACAGTGCATGAGGTAATTTGCATAGTAAAGCTATTATCTTAAAGCAGTTTAGGTTACACGTTCCATGCAAACATTCTATGTTTCATTGAATGTAAACTTGGCAGAGTACACAGAGTATCACAAATGGACTTCATTATTATGCGTATATATATAATAACTAACTAACTAACTAACTAACTGTTTAGGGTACCAGAAGGTTCATCACCAAAGCCCTCAGCCGGTCACTGTCCTGGGCCAACAAAATCAAGTCGCCTTCAACTCCTATTTCAAATCATTTTTATTTGCCATGTTCGTGCCAAAGAGTCCGAGGCTTGGTAAGATTCTTCGTAACACGGCAGTTTTTTACGGTGAAAGGTTGTTAGCCTCACGCCCAACCCCCAAGCTTGAGGACTTGCGTATATGTACATGAACAATTTAATATTTCACGACCACTACAACGAAATCATCATAACGTAAGAAGCTAGTGTACAGCAAGTAATATGGACAACATTATGTAATCGGTATGGGCAAACAGATGACGATTAGCCCACTAAAGGAGCATTTACTTTATGCAAGCTTGGAATATTCGTCATGACACCGACTGTCCAGCTTTATACAAAGTTGTTCCATTGAAATTTCAATCGTAAATACTACATATGGACCCCTCAACGCACAAAACGAGAAAACAGCTGGCAGTATTTGGTTTTTGCATCCGTATCCTGTTATTGCAGCTTTGAACTTCAGATGTTTATTGTTCTGATGAATGAATGCGAATGTAGCCATCCGTTCAGGTGTACCGTGGTTTATAAAATCTCTTCGGTCTCGGCTTTACAAATAATGTTCTTTTAATTCTATCGTACGCGCATACGCTCACACACGCACTGAACACAATAAAAATCAAACGAAGAATTGATGTTAAGATAAACTCATGTTTTTAAAGGTACTTACCCTGCAAGTAGTATGTTATTTTGCACATGAACTCCCCGTACAACCAGAGCTTTATGACGGCTTGGCTTATAGCCACTGGCATGCAAATGAGGGTCACCAGAAGATCAGCGACTGACAGGTTTACCAGAAAGTAATTGGTGACACTGTAACAGAAGAAAGGTTATATCACACTTATATTTTATTAATGATAAAAGATTCATGTTCAGATCTCTAGACGTTGCTGAATATAGGATGCAATAGTCGGCTGCAGGGTATGGACTTAATTTTTGATGAGAGGGTATTTATCGACCAGTTGGGAGAGAATTATCTACTCAGCGTAATTCCAGAACCATGGAGTTACAAGCATGTCATTGAGAACTGACACATCAGCAATTTCTTCATCTTGAATTATTTTTACACCAGCGTGTCATGCGTATTTATGAGTTATTCATTTAATTTAACGATACTGACAATATCTTGGGCTATATAGCGTCGGATGATAGTATTGATTATTAATGAACGCTGAATTGGAAAGGGCTTCGAAGGAAGCGGTCATGTCATAATTGCCACCTATAATTGTGTCTTTCAAATCGGCTATTTCTTCCCTTGAAGATTTACGACCAAACTTTGATACACAATTATCGCCCCTCTTATGCGTGCTACATTCACCATATATATATATATATATATCACTCCTTTCTTTAATTACCCTAACGTTTGATTATAAACACAACTTATGGAGCTCCTTATTACGCAAGTTTTTGGAGGATTCTGTTACTTTCTCTTCCTTACGTCCAATATTCCCAATCAGCTTTCGCTTTTAGAAAGAGATACGCAGGCCAACACGATACGCTGCCAAGTTTGGGAGATTATCGTGCCTTCTGTATAAAAAAACATATCTGTATGCCATAAATTCACTACGTATAAGGTCTAGGGGAAGATGCTCGTAATATGCCATATTTCCCAGGAGGCAGCACAGTTCCTACGAAACACTACATCCTGTCATGAAGCACCAGAGAACAAGATCGGAGGAGGGGGGGGGGGATGTTCTGTAGTCGAAAAATATTGCTATATTTCTTTTTGAGTCCGCAGCCTTCACAGTAGTTAAAGTGGCCGGAAAGAGAAACTCTCAGCTCTCTTAGCTTTCTGAGTTGGTGCGGTCTTTACTGACCTCGTTACGAGGTTCAGGTGGAAGGTTGTGGCCGATACGTACAACAGTGCAACTCAACTTCAATTTATCACATTTTTCAGTGGAAAACCATCTGCTTCGTGAATGTGTGGATTCTATCACTTGCTCCATAATTGGTTTGTAGGTGCAATGTGCCATACGACTACGTGTTGTCTTCGGTTGTGGTGGAGTTGAAGTAGGGTTGCAGTTTCCAGTTGCCTTGGTGTTAGCTGTCAGTATAGTGACTGGACGGCCGGTGTTCGATCCTCGACAGGGGCAGATGATTTTTCCTCTAGCCTCTGCGTCCAGACCGGTTCTGGGACCCACCCAGCCTCCTATCCAATGAATATCGGGATCCTTTCCTGGGGGTAAAGAGCGGCCGGGGCGTGATGCTGACCACTCACCCCATCTAGTGCCGAGGTCAAGAATGAGTAGCAGCTATAACGTGTCTCCCCCCAAGCGCCTACTTGGCGTATAGTGGAACAGCTTTGGTTTACTTTACTTTTACTTGGTGTAAACCCGTCCTTATAGACGCAGCAGACTCAACTTTTATTATTATTATTTATTTAGTGTTCTGTCTGACGACAGGTCCATATGAACAGGATCCTTCCATCCTTTTCTCGGACTGGGACCTGTTCATATACGTTCTTGGCAGATGATCCAGAAGTGGTTTGCCATTGCCTTCTTCTGTGTGTGAATGGAGTAATTGTTGGGATGCCACGGAGAAACCAGCTGTCTTGTGGATTGTAACGCAGTCAGACCCTCAGATCCTACTTTTGAAAGATTTGCTAAAAAATTTTCTAGAACAGGTTCGTAAATCAGCTATGTTGTTAACGCAATTCTCGTTGTAATGATCATCAGACCTTCATTTTAAAACAAACTTAAGTCAGAAAAAAAGTTTCCTTCTTCCTCTTGTTGTCCTATACGTTCCTATGTAATCTGCGTGCGTAAACTACCGTTCTAGTTAAGCTCTTGTTACGCGAAGACGAGTTCGAAGAACGGCGGGTTCTCTGGCACAGGCTGCGAGTAGGGATAAAAAATTGTCAGGATACAACACTTGTATGAGATTCGACATTGTAGCTAAAATTTTATGCGCTTATTTATGTAAAATACAGAACAGCTTATGTGGCACTCAAGTTAATTAGCTCTTCATGATGAACTCAATGACGTCGAAAACCAGCAGTTCACTGGTCCATAAATTTACAAATTGCCACTCAATTTATCTGCTCTGTATACATTTAAAGGCGTACTTCATGATAGGATGCATTATTATGTAGAAATTGTGCTGTCTCTTGGGAAATCATGAATGTATAAATCTTTCCTGTAGACAATATACGTAGTGAATTTCTAGCACGCTCAAAAAGTGACTTCCAAATTTGGCACTTTGTTGGTGTAATCTTTTGTCTCTCCCTAAAATCGAATATTTATTCACGAGAATATTTGGACCGAAGGCAGAGAATGCAACAGGACACTGGAGATATTTGCGTAATGTGGAGGGTCATCATTTATTTTACCAAATTTAGTAAGATAATTAAATTAAGGAGAGTGGGGTCGGTGGGACGAGAAATATATATTAAATTTTAGTCAGAAATCTTGAAAGTAAGAAACAGACTATATGAGCCACAAAGTTGTACGTACGAGGTGTTATTAGAATGTCTTTTGAAAATATTATCTGAAAGTGTGGGCTAGATTAACTCAGGAGAGCGTTTAGTGATAAACGTTTATGAACACGGAACCTTCTGATTGCATGAAAGGCGGCATATATCTTGAAGATAGAGCACCAGTTTTGGAATATTTGGAAGTTTTAATTAAATCTGAAACAAGTAATTCCCCATGAGTAGAACATTATCATTATTTCCTTAATCGCAGCTTCCTTGTTGTCAAAAGGAACTTAAATCTCAAAATAATTAACCTTTGAAAACACAGTTCAATCTTGCCTTTAAATATAATCGTAGTCCGGTGAAGTGTAGTGCAAATTGTAGGAATTCGTTTCTGAAGAGATTAAGTCTTATAATATATAGCCTTGAGACTTAAAAGAAGTTGCTGTTTTTCTTGCTTTTTGAAAGACGCTTCATGAAATTGGTTTCGCTTAAAGAATTGTCAGTAGAAATGATTAAATTTTAGTACGAAAGTTCCATAGAAATTCTGTGAAAACAAAAGACTGTCGCTTAACATGACGCTTTTTGCATTAAAACCAATTGAAATGATCGTAAATTCTGCCTTTAATATTGTGTTTTGACTGTTTTCATCAAATATGTTATTCGTATAAATAAAACAACAATACGGGGCCCAACCGGTTCAACAGACTTCGTTTAGAAAATTTCATGCTACAAATATTTAACAAAACTTACTTGCAAAACCGAGAAAAAAAGCTGTGATTATAACCCTTTAACGAAGTTTAATATTTTTCAAAAACATATTGCCCTAGTTGACTTCAGGAACATTTATTGAATGACGCCAGTATTGTTATTGTATCAGAAGTTCGTAGATCACCTTGTTAAAGTTAAAATACAAGGTTACGATGTTGAAACTGATTTTCAGAAACAAAGCTGTTACATATTGCTTATAATAGCTTTAACGTCTGTAACTGAAACGTGGTACGGACTGACACAAAGCTCGTTAATACCATCAGTGGCTTATAAATTTACTTGAAAAATATTTTCTCCGTTATACTGGAAAAATTATTGCACGCATCGAAACTGATGATTTATCTGGCTACAGATAAAGAAAATATTTTTTATGTCAAAGGAACTGGTCTTTTTTCGGATCCTGTAAAGTCCTATAATTTGTTAAGTGTGCGGAATACATTTGAGGTGTAACGATTCCGAAATTAAGCCAAGGAGGTCACGCGCGGTTTTTGTACAACGTGTAATTTAGAGGAGAGCCTTTGGTCTCGAGGGGGCACCTTCATGCAGTACCTTTACGACAATATCTGTCATATAACGTTCATAGTGTTTCTGCAATGCGGACAGAATGCTCCCGTGTTTCTACAGGGGTACTTCTACTCACAAACACATGTTCTGCTACTGGTTATATTTTGGTACATTTAACTACGTGTTGTCAAGTGTAATGAATACGAGGCATTCAAAAATTATGTGAATTTAATGATGAAGTTCGGAGGATCTGTCTGATCATCATCACCTTGATAACGGAGGCAGTAGCTCCTGAAACGTCTGCCAGAAATCAGTCGTATTTATACTTTATTTTTTGTTTACACTTATAATGAGATCGTACGTTGGAGTTTATTTATATTATACACAGACATTGGCTCAATCTTTTCCCCCGACTGCTGCACCATGACATTTAATGGCTGCAGAAGAGAAGAGAATGTTACTTTTCCCTTGATATTTCTCTTCGACTGAGTAGGCAGTGCCCTTCAACTGAGCTCAGGCATACAAAAATGTTGGATTTAGATCTGCCGTTGGAGGGAGCTAGGCAACCCGCATCACTGCAATTGTCAAGGACTTGGTGGTGGCCTGGAATTAAGGTAAAAGGCCTCGGGCTTGACGTCAGCTGGATTCAGAGTAGGTTTCTCCTCTGTTGTCTCCTTCTCCTCTCACCACGAACAAAACTCAAGACTGCAACGTGGGTCGGATTCCAGGTTAGGCTCTCTGTCTGCTCCACTTCCTCTCATCGGGACAAATACCTAAACTCCTCCGTCTGGATGCTTCATCTAAAATAGGGTTTCTTCAAAACAGGCACAGGCGAGGTTGGTCAGCAACATCGTCTGTGCTCTTTGACCTATTCTTCTGACAGCACTCGAGAGGAGTGAGGTGAGGCGACGTTGGTCGATTTACTCGATACTGGAATATAAGACGCCTAGACCAACGTATGGCGTGGGCAGGTCTAAGAAAGCCAGAAACCCAAGTTAACGGCAGTGAATGAGAACACAAAACTCTTATTGGTACTAGAACAGCGTCTTGTTCTAACCCGTTTTCATGGAGATATTCTGGTTCTGTGAAAGAAGTACAAACCCATGTTTCCCCCTCCCACCCAAATTCTCTGCATAATGGATGACAATTGGCTTTTCGATATAAAATGCCTGGCTTATCGATGTTTACTCACTGATTATGTGTTGTACACGTTCTGTTCATTGAATATCGAAAGACGCTGTATCAGCATCAGAAGTTGTCGAAAAATGTGAGCAGGTTATCATAAACTGTGATCTGGAAAGGGCAAGGGAGAAACGATAGTCAGAACAGCCGTTTTGGCAGAGGTTCGAACGAATTAAATCTGGGATTCATGTCTCAGTACCATGCTGCTCGGCTGGAAATGGTGAAACTGTGGGTATCAGCCCCGCCCATTTTGGAGTTAAAATAATCAAATATCATCAGGGCTCGTAAGCCGCTCGGATGAGATCGATCGTTGGACCACACAGAACCACATTACACGGTGGATTATCAGGATTAAAATGTCACTCTGTTTTGGCTTGTAATAAACGGCAACTCACGGCCAGATTAAGCAACAGGCTACAAAGTTAACAACAGTCGCTCGTTTGTCTGCCTGAGTTACGTTTCATGGACGTGTTTCCGTATCAGGGAGGAAATATGCGGGTCCCCTTGTCGCTTTTGTCTCTCGTCTGCTAGTCGGCTTCTGCTGTGGTATACGCTTAGGAAAGCAACGCTGACAACACCTAGCTGGCAAAGATACATTTTGTTAGATCGGTTCTGCTGTGATTCTGACCCAAAAGTAAGACAGAAGCGTACGTGCCAGCCTGTAAGCGTAGTCACAATATTGACAGAGCTGCCCTCGATTCTCACAATATAAACATTATACATAGCATAGGATAGGATTTTTTTTAGTGTCTTCGCCGTGATCGCTCGGCTACTTATCTGATACTTCTGTTGAGCGGGTAGTCTGTTCAGGAGTTGGTAAGCACGGTTTGAATTTCAATCCCATCTCTCGTTCTTCAAAATTTTTTTTTGCACATTTGAATAACCATCACTTCCGGAACTCTTTGTATAATAGAGTTATATGTGGTTTTTCAGCAGTAACAGTTCCTGTGTGCTTCATACATTTTATTATAGACTGTAAATAATGATTATAATGTTTAAAGTGTTTGGTAGTTCAATGAAATATTAATATTTAGATAAGGAATGCCAAAGAGTGAGAATAATGCATACTAATACTAAAGAATGAAATGTATTTAGTAACTTTCACATAAAATACAGTGTGAGATGATCATATCATGGTGCTGGTACATTAGCTGAGTGTGTTTTGTAGGTGGTCCCACATTTTCTATAGTAAATATTCGAGAAAGCAGTGCGATTATTTAAATAGCGACGAGGTCAGGGAAAAAACGCGAAGGGTTAAGGTTGCCTTCTTTCTGTTAAGTTAATAGCCTATTATTTGCAACGTTCAGAAAGTCTTTTGTGCAGTCTGTGATCTTCTGTTTGCTTCAAAACAGATTCATCTTGCTGTTCTAAGAACCAGTCTAATGCCATGCTCAATAGGATGTTTGACTATTTCACGTTTTTCTCTGGATGATATAGTGCTTCCTCATATCTTGTTTCCTCATGCGATTGACCCTACGTTCTAGAGAACTATAATGCAGGCCCATCATAATCGACTGTCACTTCAGTAGCCAGCCGTATTTCGGAAAGCAGGAAGCTGTTAATCCAGAATTTCAACTTCACATTTTCATTTTACAGAAAGCAGAGAATAATACACGGGATTTTCAGTTCGAATCAAATTACTTTCAAAATACTGAATTATATGCGTTTATATACCTGGATTTATATTTTAAATGCAAGCCATTGTAAAATATTCTTGGCTGTTGTTCCCGCAACTGATCTCTTATTTTGTTTCAGACATCTGTCAGAATTTGATAATCCCGTCCTGCGAAGAGAACAGAAGACGTAAGTATCTGACAGGCTGTAGATAGTGAACCCTCTCTGTGTTTCTCCATTTATTGCCGTAGATACGAAAATTTTGCCAGTCACTGAATGTAATTACAACTCCAACTATCATATTTATAGCATCATATCGTACGTTTTGAAATTTAGTGAATTATTTTTTGAGAAATAAAATAATCCTTTATATTCTTCTGTTACATGGCAAAAGTTATGCCACTTTTTATAATAGCTTGAAAGCATCTATACTCTTTTCGGTCTGCAGTGAGGACATCCGCTATATTTGTATTGTATTTGCAGACAATGACACAGGCAGAAACATTTCTGAATCGTCAGTAAACTTCTACACGGCGCAACAACCCAGAAGACAAGTAATCTTCAAACTCCTCGCCATGAAATCCTAAAATCTCGCTGGTTATGAGTATGTTATTTAAGTTGCTTATAAAATAAAGGGATTATTATATGTACGTTTGCAAAATTATAGAGCGTGAATAATGTTCGGTAGTAAAGTTACGTAGTTAATGAAGCATGAGACGTGTTTATACACAGGATGATATGATTATAAAATCGACAAATAACCGGTTTGGATAAATTCGTATATCGCCAGTTGTAATCGTTCCTCGTGCAGTATTCAAAGTTAATATTTGCCACTTGGCTTGTCTTATGTTTCATTCATGAAAATTTGCTTCATGCCACCGAAGGATTTGATTTATGATCGATCATACATTTCAGGTACATCGAGATAAAGGCCCAGCAGTTCTTAATTACGTTAATTACTATATTAGCAAGGGCTTGCTGAAAGCAAATTACAAAGATTTAAAATAAAGATTTTAAAAACCCTTTGTTTTAATCCATTTCGGATGAAGATGCTTATATCGTTCCTAAAAATGTCAGAGTTGTATTGAAAGTTGTTACGTCTGAAACATGTATTTCCATCTCATCTTAGAAAAAAAAAACCCAGACTGTTTTATTAAAATATTGTATTAATGAAAACATTTATAGCATTTTTAAAGCAACTTAACCCACTCTTTTCTTGCCAATCAAATTATAAACATTGAGATATAAATACTTTACGACACGAAGTCAGCAAATAGAATATTAACATGTAGCTGTTTTTTATATTTCTGAAGAGTTCTTAAAAATGCAGTCGAAGTTGGTTAAATAAGTTTTTCCTCTATTTTATAAATCCCTCCAGGTTAGTGTTTGCTTATTAACAAAACATTATCATAACTACAATAACATCAAACATTTTTCAAATATGCCTCGCGGAAAGAGGAATCGCTACATTGTTTAACATTCATTATCTTGCACTAAGTTGGTTGAAATAGTAGCAGGATAGGGATCTGTTTTGTTGACGTTTCGGGAATACTGCCTGCAGCTTTATATGATTGAGTCACACGAAATTTGGTTATTTTATCCGAGTATGTTTCAGGTGAAGAAGAAATGCACGAGGACCTGTCAATATATAAATGATGTGTTCGGGTTTTTTCCTGACAAACGTTAAGTAATGCAAACCTGAATATAAACACAGTGCCAAATTTGAGTTACTGACTGAGATGTCGTCTACGAATAGGATAGGCTCTTGGTAATGGAAAGTATTCGAACATGAGAACAGGATAAAATTAGTCTAAGGCTTTCTGGAATTGTATAAACAATATAAAGAAAAACAAATTTAAAAAACAAATATTTAGTTGCATATGAGGAAAGAAAAAAATTGGGGCATGTTAAATTCGACAAACCATTTCGCTAGTTATGAAGAGAACAACTGTAAAATAATATACTTTGAAGTAAGAACAAAATTCATCGCGCGAAATTGAGGCCTTCGGGTTAATATGTTTCACTTTCAAAATAATTGACTAGAAAAATACAGAAATAAAATTGTACAATGCATTACAGTTACAGAAACAAAAGGATACTAGTTATATGAGCAGTGATAAGGCAAACATACAGTCTCCAGTGAAAATTAAGGCTGACCTGTATCGTATTAAAGTTAAGAGATATCGTAGTAGCCTTTATAAATTACTACAGTACTTGCTATTATTTTTGCACTCTGCGTCAATATTGTGCTTAGAATGTTAGTTCGGGCTGAATTTCTCATTTGTCATGGAAGTGTGTGGCATAAATGGGAAGGTTGCTAATTACTTACATAATTTTGGTCGGAATACCTGATGGATAGTGAGCCCTTGTGAGCACAAAAATGTACCTTAGGGTTTCATAAAGGCAGGGAAATTTTAAACTAGTTGAGCGACTAGAGAAGGACTCTGGAGAGTCATTTCCCACGTCAGATGTTAGAATTATCGCTACTTCTTGCTTCTGAAGACGATAAGTAACGTTTATGATAGTGCCTTCAATTGGATTACGAACGGAGTGACTGTCGTTGAAAGGATTCAGAAATAAATAATTTTGATTAAAACACAAGCTTTTGGACACCAGCTTTAACGCGAATAGGGCTCATAACGCCTGCCTCTTACAGGATACGAATCTGTACTGTCATGTTCTACTTTTTCTTGAGTTACAGATACATCTGATCGTATGCTGTAATGAGGACTTTTGAACCCAGCTATCTTGTGCGATGTAAATAGCCTGCATTAAGCCATTCAATTCTTCAAGCGTTTTCTCCGATGAATACTGCACTTGTTTACAGATTCATGGCCATTCACTTAACAAAAGATCGTGCGTCATGGCTCCTCTTTGGTATTAGAATACAAATATGAAGTGGGTTGTTTATTATTTCTTCGTATTAGGTAAACAAAAATGAAGTGAAACGCGTAGTTGCTGTGCTACATTATTTTACAGAGCAGCTTGTCAAATCCCATCGTGTTACGTTAGAATACATTTATGTAGTAGTTAGGTTGCTATGATCTATCTTTTTTGGATTACATTGAGCGTAAACAGGCCAGGTTTCTTTGGAAGCTCATTGAAATTAATTTTCCGTGAAAGACGTCGTTAATGACATTGAACTGCGTGTAAACAGTACGCTGTATTGCAAACTCTATTGTTCCATCGTGTTATTTTTATAAACAGATACAAAAGTTGCAGAGGCCCTCACAAGCATGAAAGAAATTTGCAGTGTAAAGAAAGCAGTAAGCACTTTTCTGTAATAAAGACTCTAACTACACTGTCCTAATTTAATATCGCGTGATGCAATCAATCACAAATGCAGGTAATACATTTTTTGATACTAAAAGATTAATAGGCCGTCAATATAGTGATCCTGAGATAAAAAATCTAAATGTGCCGTATAAGGTGTTTGCAGCGAAAAATGGAAATGCCCTCGTTAAATGGCTCGGCTCAAACATATTATTCTATAATTTAAATTTGGATACAAAAATACTCGAATTTTAATCCTTAGTTCAACGGGTTATTAAAAATTAATTTGTACACGGCATCAGATGTTTTGTTATTGTTGCCCTCAGTGGTACAATGGCCCAATTTTTTGTAATGGAGCTGCTGGCATACCGTAATATAAAAATCTTAAACACTTATTCGCAGAAGCAGGAGGATTCCGAAATTGGAGAATCAAGTTTTCTTAAAGCCCATAACCATTGAATAGAATGTGGAATATTAGACAAATATAGAATTCTTCTAGTGGGATTAAAATCCACGATCCCATTTTCTCGAACTGTCCAAGGCGATGCTTACGTTAAGTAACGTGGCCACTGGAATCGGTCTTGATTGTTCAGTTCGAATAATTCAAGGTACATTTGCTTTATGTAAGTCCCCATAACGTTTTTTAATTACTGCTACGCCTTCCATACAAAATAAGTTACGACGGTAAGTTACGTGTGCAAATTGCGCCAGTTATGTCATATTTTTGTGGGGGGGGGATTCCGTTTGCGAGGGTAGGTGCCTGTCAGCTATCTGGCTGGGTGATGACATCATACTGATTTCCCCAATTGAGGATTCCCCCACCCAGGCACTCCATGCACAAGTGCTCGTTATTTCTGTCCGAGTTAACCAAAATTGAAATCAGTCGACACATTTTAGTAATATCCCCCCTTACCAAATGAAATTGAAATCCATTCTGGAGTTGTGAGATTTCAGGTTCTCACGGCAGCGAGTTTAAATATGGCTGGCTGTCTACTGGGTTCTTGCGCTGTGTAGTCTGGTAGACACTTGCTTATCACCTTGATGGTGGAGGTAGCAGGCACTTCTTAAACGTCGGTGAACGTCTACCACACTACACGGAGCAACAACCCAGGCAAGGCAGCTATATTATTTTTCAGACAAGTTTATTTTAAAGTACGTTAGCCATGAGTTCTTCGCTTCCCTGTATCTGTACTATCAGGTTTGTTACACGTTTATTTCCCGAATAAATTAATATCAAGAATAATAAGAAGCGCCAATTTACAAAGAATGTCTTTGGTAAATGTGTAAAGTTCACTGAGAAAGCCTTTTTTCTCTTCCTACAACAGGCCTAGCCAACTGCTTTATGAAATGTCCGGAAATATAATGTTAGCTGTGATATTTCGCAGACCTTCCGTTGAGATTTAAACTCACGTCACGCTGGTATTTCTGATTGTCCACAAGCTGTCTGCTGCATCATGTGTTGATGTTCTGTTAGACACACGATATAAAGCAGCGACGATCTGAACGTTGTTCCTCGCACTCTATTCTTCTTAACTACATACTGAAAAGTTTATGAACAGAATTAATTATGTTGTCATGGTTAAGTTCTCTGACTGCAGATGACCTACTAAATTGAGTATTAAATTTAATAACGTACTTGTTCCATTTACCTGGCACGAATATTTTCAAAGTGACTGAAATTCCTAATGGAATTTTCTGAAATTGAAAAAAATGGTCCGTCGTAGAAGGAAATTCTTATATGTGAAGGTGTTTTTGCTGGTCCACTTATGTGGTAGTTCTATAAGGAGACTATCGCCCTCGGTTCTTCACTCATGAGTTCCAGCAATTTAAAGGAGGCCGGTGAAAAGAAGTTCCAGCATTGACCAAATGTTATCAAGTCTCGCTTTAAAGATTCTTTTCGACTGAAATCATTTCTA